TCGACATAGCTAAATACTGGAACAAAGACCAGGGAATAACCAGTCTCGGGGTGTCGACATCGATCTCACGGGTTGTAAACCAGAGAGCTTCTCCATTTGGCAACACTATAGCCAGTGGCCGTGTCTCGCCCATGGGGTCCCTGGCCTTTGTAGGGACCGGATCTGGGCTTAGGTGGCTACTGGCTGTAGCGCCTGGCCCCATTGGTCCATCTTGTCCCGGCTCGGGGGCTGGTTCAGCCACAAACTCCCCCGGTGAGTAAGATATCGGCCTGGACGTAGTGCTCATCGCCGGGGAGCTAGGCTGGGGTGGACGCCAAACGCTCTGCCCCGGATAGGCCTTTGCAGGGATCCCAGAAGACTTTTGCTGTAGGAGGGATGCAGGTCGAAACCGGCTCGAGCTCATCCACCTCCATTGCTGTTGTCTCAGTCGGGGTGGGAGCCACCACGTCATCTGCGGTCTGAGACGGAATACCCATCTCCTCCTCCTCGACTTCGACCACTTCCTCTGATTCGTCCACGATGTCCACAGCTCCTCCATCAGTGGATGGGTGTGACCCTTCGGTAAGGGGAGCTTCCAGGCCCATCCCCGAACCTCGGTTCACCACCTCCTTCCGGTTGAGGATCACCGGCACGGCTGTTGCACCCTTGGCCACGAAGCGATCTTCTGCGGCTTGACCATGGTTGATGAGCGGAGCGCTCCTCGGTCTCCACTTCCCACATCCGCAGACGCTTCGCTTGACGGACACCTCGTCCTGGGTGGGGGCATATCCAATGCGTGGCGTGCTCATGGACGTTGCCTTCAGCATGTTGCGAAGTGCTGCACATATTGCAGCCATACCGGTGCAGTCCATTCACCTCGCCGCACCTCCCACAAACCCAATGCATTGTGTTGCTAAAAGCAGCAGGCGGTGGAGCTTTGGGAGCGGCCTTGGTGGGAGGTGGCCCTGCTGAAGGGCGGTGCGCCCCTGCTGGAGGTGCCTTGGATGGTCTCGGCGGCGGCGCCTGTGCAGAGCCCGAAGCTGTAGAGGTCGGTGGAGACGATGGCCTTGCCTTCGGCGGGGCTTTGTATGCCGGGCAGTGCGTCCCCGCTGCTCTCCAGCTTCTGTTGTCTCCATGAGGGCGATTGCAAGTGTGACAGTTCGGCGCCTGGATGGAGACCTTGGCTTTGCAGTTGAAGCACCACCACGTGTCGAAAAATCCCTCCCTCGGAGGTGGGGCTTTGGTCTTCGGCCCACCATCGCCACTAGGAGGAGGGGGCGGTGGCGCCTTTTTCGAGTCCGTCCTCGGTGCGCACCCATCCACAACCAAAACACCAGCCTTCGGCCCAGTACTGGTGATGGCCACACTGGCGACAGAACCTCAAAGTTCGGCCCTTCCTGACCCTGGGGTATCGGTCGATTTGAGGACCGGAGGAGTCGGAGTCCAGGTCCCAGCTGCCATCGCTTTAAAAGTCGGCCTCGGAGATGTCGGACATGTCGGACACCTCTTCCCACACGTTGCCACGAGGGTCCTCCCAGACGTTCCTTCCTTTTTGCCTCCAGGGGCCCTTGCCCTTGCCCTT